ACATCAATAAGCAGTTTCTGTGCGATTAACCGCCATGTTTTGTTTTCTTCGTTATCTCTTCAAGTCTGGTAATACTACTACTTGTGATTCTGTTTTGTGTATATCAGTTACTGCACAATTACTACAGTCCTGCTGCGATAAAGGGTCCGCCACTGCAAACTTATCAGGATTCAAGTAAAGATATTCACATTGCATAGTTGCTGAAGTCACTTTTTCTTTTCGTGAAAATGAAACTAGACACTGCTTGTGGATTATGAAATATCATCTGCCATGTCAGTTGGGCTGTTAATGTAAGCTAAATGATTTCTAGGTTGATTATATCTAATGAAGACAATTTGCCTTATACATACATTCAGATCTTGATCAGATGTCCACATGTGGAAACTTGATATAAATTTTCACTTGTGGGAGACAAGTCAATTTATTCATTCATAGATGATGTTTCTGATTCATCTATACATCCTCATTTACATGCTTATAACATGTGTTTTGACTTATTGTATATTCTTAGTTCTCCTTTTCATTGCTTTAGAGTTGTAATATAATGATTTTGTTTTCTTCTAACATGCAGATATGACTATTCAGGATATGGAGCATCTACTGGTAAGGTAAGCTATTTCCTTGAGATAAATGGTTTCTTGAAGGCAGTCTAAACTTGGCAGTGCCATTGAAACATTTCTGATCAGTATAACTAGTATTCCATGTGAACCTGTCTACTGTTGAAACATTGGTGCAATTGCTTTTGTTCATATGAATGTCAAACACTGCTGTAGAATCTTTTTTTCCACCTTTAAAGAAGTTAATTTCAAATACTTCAAAAAAGTATGAAACAATTTCTTGCAAGTTGGAAATCACATTGTCAACCGAATCAGATGTCACTATCACAAGTTAAGGCTAAGCAAACATAAGGGCAAGATAAAATACCAGATACATAGAAGGGTAAGAACATTTCATGTAGTAGACTAGATGATTTAAGGGTTTTTTAATGTCAAACAAATAAATGTGCTGTTCCTGTAGATATTTGAACTACAGTTGATTCTAGCATAAAAGCCAAAAAAGGTACTAGTACTTGCTTCAAGCACAATGCCTGGTGTCTTTGTAAGCCTCAAATCTATTACAATTTTACTCAACTTCCCTTGGTGTTTTGCTTATTCACATGAATCTTTTTTGTTAATAAGGGAAACATAGCAATATCTACTAGCTTCAGTTGCATGATAAAACTGATTATGGGTTCAAATAGCTGATATCAACCTTACAGGCAGCGATAAGGATATGTGTATCTGGTGCCTGCCACCTGCAATGGTGGGAGCAGGTTGTAAAGTGATGCAATTTGAGATGAACTATTTGTCATGCTTTTGTAGTGTATAAATATTTAAGCCACATGAAGCATTAATTGATTAACTCTTATCATTTGTTATTGCTTTCACTGGAGTCTTGGTAAATGCCTCAATGTGTAACTTGTGCAAAGTTCTCTCTGCTTACTAAATTCATAAAGGAAAGATGGTTTTAATATAGTAGTACATCAAACCTAAATCTTTGACATGAAGGTTGTGGTTCATTGGGTTAAAGGAAGACTCATTTCAATTCTTGTGATTTCATGTTTTTCTTTATTGCCTAACTTTATAGGTTTACACACCAGCTGAAGTAATATACTATGCATTTGTTTATGGTGTTTAGCCTAGTGAATACAACACATATGCAGACATCGAGGCAGTGTACCAGTGTCTGCAAACAGAATATGGAGTCAGTCAGGAAGATCTGATCTTATATGGGCAATCAGTCGGTAGCGGCCCCACATTGCATTTGGCAGCTCGCTTGCCAAGACTGCGAGGTGTAGTGCTCCACAGTGCTATATTGTCAGGACTCCGTGTGGTTTGCCATGTCAATTTCAATTTCTGCTTCGACATTTATAAAGTATTCCTCATGCTTTACATTTTTTTATGCCATGTTCTTACATCGATTGGCAATTTTAGCTACTAACTGTTGTAGCTTTTATGCAGAACATTAACAAAATAAAAAAGGTCAAGTGCCCAGTTTTTGCAGTTCATGTAAGTTCATTCTCTTAAATTCATGAACTTTCGTCTTTTATATAGTCAGTAGCTTCACTTCTTTCTGTTGAGAAGAATTTGAAAGTTTTCTATATGATTGCTTTGTGGCATTTAGATCTTTTAGTTATATTAAATTATCAGTTGTTTTCCCATTTATCAAGTAAGACGAATCTATGTAATTAAAAATTCCCCATTTATCTGAAGTTTTGTTTCTCTAGTTGATGATAATGACTATATAAATTTTGCAGTGTAAGGTAGAAGTCCAGAATAATTAGCCACGATAAGTGCTTGATCACTATTGAAGAGCAATTACTAGTATGTTGACTAAAGGTCTGAAACAGCTTTCTTTTTATTTCCTTCTTCTACTGCTCATTTTCTTTCAGAAATATGTGTACCCAACACTTTTGTAGCTACCAAGTCAGATTCAACCCTAAGAATCTCCATGGCTTGCTCAACTAAGGCCCACGCAGCCATTTCATTGTGGCAATTAAGGCATTCACCTTTGAAACTAGGGTCAATCTTTTCATAGGTAGCTGCAGTGACACAAAAGAATCATGTTACATCTCCTAAACAATGTTGGGAAGTACTGGTTTGGAACTTTGAATTGTATCTATTCACTGATATTGTCTTAATTTTGTAGTGGCCACTTGGAGAATCTAGGCTCTGTTATGTATCTGTTGTCGATTGTTATCACAGAGTGTTGCTTTCATTTCTTATGTTTCATGTGAACTGATGCGATTTATCGAGAAACCAAAATGCAAATGTCAGAAAAAATCACTATGACTGTTCCTGGTAAATAACCTTTTTCATTTGAACTGTTCCATGCCTTCTTGTAGGGTACCGAGGATGATGTAGTGAATTGGCTTCACGGACATGGTCTGTGGAAACTAGCAAAGGAGCCGTACGAGCCCTTATGGATCAAAGGAGGAGGTCATTGCAACCTGGAGCTGTATCCAGACTACATCCGCCACCTCCGCAAGTTCATTCAGGAAATGGAGAACATCACCACTGCAACCCGGCTCAAGAAGATCCGGCAAACTCTCAAGTCGCCTACAAAACCTGTTGCTACCACCAGCGCCGCCACGACAACGAGCTTCACTGCAAACTGCTGCTGCCGAATCAGATTCAGGAAACCTGACTTCCCGAGCTGTTCGAGTAGGCGATGCCCAACGGTGCAGTGTTCCAATGGGTCAGCATACCTGTGCAACTGGTGTTGTGGTGGAGATGGCCATTGATGGTGGTCTTGGACTTTGTACAGACTTGCAAAACTATCTAACCCCTTCTACTGTACTTAAGTGTTGTATGAGAATTGAGAGCATAGGTAGTAGTAGTTCCATGCTGTTGAAATGTTAATTGATTGGTGTTGGTAGCAGTTTGCAATTTAGCATTGGTGTCCAAATGTTGCTAAAAATATCATGGTCAGTGAATCAGTACTGTCAATCAAGCTTTTATGATGTGCACACTTCTGGACAGATTTATGGTTCAGAGGAGGGATATGATCCATGGCAACAAGAGCTTATGATACATATAAACTATCTCCACTCATCTCTGATGATACTTGGATGCAGTTTCAGTTCAGGTCTCTTTTCTTGATCATTCTTATTAGTTTTTATGTTTTTGTCAGAAACTCCCAGAATCCCAAAAAAGATGCAATTGAGACTTTTGGTCAATGTTGAATCTTTGGATTCGATGTATTGCAGTCCTATTTTATTATTTTTATATTTTTTATATATTTTTATCTGAATTTTTATATTTCTATCAAATACTTTTAAAATCTAAAAGGAAATGTAAAACTCAATATGAGATCTTCCAAGTTTGGAGAGTCAGTATATGTAGTACTATTTATTATTTATGTAATTTAAACCAACTCATACAATAGCGAATCTCATTTTTACTCTCACAATCTCATAGAGAAAAATATACGTAAAATTTTCAATGTCTTGAGAATTTATGAAGCTGCAGTAGAACATAAAATTGGGAATATTAAGGTTTGAAATTCTAATCCCTAACTTTTGGGATTTTAAGCACCGGCCGGGGAAGAACTCACGTGCACCGCAGGCCCATGGATGACGGAATAAAAGAACTTTTATTCTTTCACCCGCCTTTCGTCGATCACCCCGTGCGAACCGAGTGGGGTCCAGCCTGAACCCCTCTCAAGCTTACATGCGTGTATACGGTGGGGTGACGCGATGACGAGTCTGACAAGAATTGCTCCCATCCATATTTGCTACTAATTAAACCCTCGCTTCCTTCCTTTCTCTGCAGCTGCAGCAACCGGCGACACAGAGAGGGCGCGGCCGATCTCCGTCTGCTCTTCTCTCGGGTTGGTCTCTCGTCCGCTCCTCTTATCTTTCATCTCGAAAGATAAATTTTGCTTTTGATCTTTGTTTCTCATTCGTTTATTGATCTCATTCGTATATTTTTATGCTCGAGAGTACGGCCTTAATTTCTGAGAGGGTTCGGTTCACGGGTCTCTTGCGACGATGAATGTTCTCGAGTTGATGTTCTATGTTTAGGAAAGCCCCTGATTTTGACCGTCGCTGATGCCTTTTTTACCCCGGAGATGATAAAAGGCTGGCGAGGCCAAAATACCGAGGACGGGTTTTGTGGTCTGTATGATCTTAGACTTCGTATCGCGTTGCGAATGATAAGCATCACGAATTGACGACTCGATTGTTTGGCGATCAACATGGCAATGCGTTTTTGTTCAGCCCATGTAGGGAGTGCAGGCTGCTGTGTAGGGATGATTTCATGTTTATTTGGCATGTTATTAAAGAAGTCTAGGGCTTATCTTAGAGTACATCCAAGACATGAAATTTATCAAGCATAAGTACTTCATCATGTCCAAAATCAAAAGTTCAGTCATGGAATTCTAGGGGGATTAATACAGATTATACTGCAAAGGGAAGGTGGAGGAGAACCATAGAATACTTTATAACAAAAGCTTTTATGGCTTTTAATTTTACTAGTTATTATTGCCCTCAGCTGCACTTGGTAATGGGAGATTAATATAACTGATCCTGGATGGTTGGAACCTCTGGCTTGCTTGTTGCTTTATTTGGATATCTTAGATGGTTTAGTGCCATAAGTGTAGTTTATGAAGTATCTCACTGGCTCCTTGATCCTATGTTCTGATGAGCTGCAAGGCTAGGAAAGTTTATAATTTTCAGTGACCAGCCATTTTTCTTTTGAGGAATAGTAAAAATTATTGTGAATATATATATATATATATATATATATAT